ATGAATTAAGTATGAGTTTTTGTCACATCACTTGAAAGTCAGTGGTGATCAAATGGCATCTAGGTACAGTACCTCCAGGTATGAACTAGTTAATATGTAGTTATTACCATTGGTCAAATAGAGCTCCTTCCTTATGGCACTGCTGCCTGAACTGTAGCTCTTGGTCACTTTACCTAAGTAACCAGTTCTCATGGGTAAGCTTAAACAGCAAGTATCAGCAGGCTATTCGTCTATAGAGGCATCTCAGCCAAGTTCAAACCAGCCTTTGCTGAATCTTCACAGATGTGCATAGAAGCATAGAAAATGAGAGCAGGAGTAGGCCATTTAGCTTTTTGAGCCTGCTTTGCCATTCATTCTGATCATCCAACTCAGTCGCTTGTTCATGTTTTTCCATCAAATGCTTTGATCCCCAAGTGCTACACCCAACTCCTTCTTGAAATCATACACTGTTTTGGCCTAGACTCCCTTCTGTGATAGCAAATTCCACAGACTTACTAAACTCTGGGTGAAGAAATTTCTCCTCATTTCAGTCGTAAATGGGTTTATCCTATATCCTTACAATGTGATCCCTGATTATGGACACCTCTGCCATTGGGAACAATTCTTCTGCATCTACCCTGTCTATGCCTGTTGAATTTTAGAAGTTTCTATGACATGCCCCCTCATTCTTCTGAACTCCAGCGAATATAATCCTAATCGATTCAACCTCTCCCCATACAGCAGTCCTGCCATCTCAGGAATCATTCTGCTAAACCTTCTATGTATTCCCTCCTTGGCAAGAATATCAGATAATGAAACCAAACCTTCACACAATATTCCAGATGTGGTCTCGCCAAGGCCATGCATAATTGCAGCAAAACATCTCTGCTCCTGTACTCAAATTCTGTTGCTATGAAGGCCAACATACCAGCTGCCTTCTTTACTGCTTGCTGCTCCTACATGCTTACTTTCAGCGACTGGTGTATGTGGATACTTAGGTCTTTTTGCGCACTCTCCTCTCTCAATTTATAACTATTCATGTAATAATCTGGGTTCCTGTTTTTGCTACCAAAATGAATAATCTCACATTTATCCACATGATACTGTGTCTACCATGCATTTGCCCACTTACTCAGCCTGTCCAAATCTCACTGAAGCATATCTGCTTCTCTGCATGCACACCTTCCCACCCAGCTTTGTGTCAGCTCCAAATTCGGAGATATTACATTAGTTCCCTCGCCCAAATTATTAGTATATACTGTGATAGGTGGGATTCTGGCATTGATCCCCAGGGAACCCCATTAGTCCCTGCCTGCCATTCAGAAAAAGACCCATTTATTCCTACTTTTGTTCCCTGTTGCCAACCAGTTTTCTATCCATCTCAGTACTGAACCTCTAACCCCATGTGCTTTGATTTTAACACTAAACTCTTATGAGACTTTATCAAAAGCTTTCTGGAAGTCCAAATAAATCATATCCATTGGCTCCCCCTCATCAACACTTCTAGTTGGATCCTTGAAGAATTCTGTTAGATTTATCAAGCATGATTTCTCTTCTGTAAATTCATGCTGATTCTGTCCAACCCCGCTATTGTTTTTTATGTGCTCAGCTATTAATTCTTTTATAGTGGACTGTAATGTTTTCCCCACTACAAACATCAGGCTGACTAATCTATAGTTCCTGGTTTTCTCTCAGCCTCCCTTCTGAAATAGTTACATTACCTCTCAATCTGTAGGAACTGTTCCAGAGTTTATAGATTCTTAGAAGATGACCACCAATGAATCAACTATTTCTAGGGCCACTTCCTTCAGTAATCTGGGATGTGGATTATCAGGCTGTGGCGATTTATTGGCCTTCACTTCCATCAATCATCCCAACACCATTTCCCTACTGATACTGGTTTCCTTCAGTTACTCCCTCTTATTAAACCCTGTGTTCTCCAACATTTCTAGTATGTTCCTTATATCCTCCTTTGTGAACACAGAACCAATGTAGAACTGCAGGTGCTGGAAATCTCAAACTAAAATGGAAATTGCTGGAGAACCTCAGCAGCCTCTGTGAAGAGAGAGCATGTTTCAAAGAAAGGTGACTGGACTCGAAACGTTAACTGTGTTTCTCTCTGCATAGATGCTGCTGAGTTTCTCCAGCAATTCCTGTTTTTGTTCTTACAGAAACACTTACAGTCAGTTTTTATGTTCCACACAGGCTTACTGTAATTCTCTATTTTCCCTTTCTTAATCAATTCCTTTGTCCTCTTTCGCTGAATTCTAAACTGATCCCAGTACTCAGGCCTGTTAATTTTTCTGGCCAATTTGTGTGCCTATTCCTTGGGTCTAATACTGTCTCTAATTTGGTTTGTAAGCCATGGTTTGGCCACCTTTCTCATTTTACTTTTGTGCCAGACAGGAATGAACAATTATTGCAGTTCACCACCCCCCCAACAAAAACAAAGACAGAATCCCCACTCCCCCCAACAAAAATAAAGACAAAAACCCCCCCCCCCAACAAAAACAAAGACAGAATTCCCCCTCCCCCCAACAAAAACAAAGACAGAATCCCCCATTCCCCAAACAAAAACAAAGACAGAATGCCCCATCCCCCCAACAAAAACAAAGACAGAATCTCCCCAACAAAAACAAAGATAGAATCCTCTCCCTCCCCTCAAAAAAACAAAGACAGAATCCCCTCCTTCCCCCAACAAAGACAAAGACAGAATCCCCCTCGTCCTCACATATCACCCCACCAACCTCCATATCCAATGTATCATTCACCGCCACCTACAATCTGACCCCACAACGAAGGATATATTTCCCTCCCCACACCTATCTGCCTTTCATAGGGTCCGCTCTCTCCATGACTCCCTCGTTGCTCCACACTCCCCACTAGCCCCACCACGCTACACCTGCCCCTACACCTCCCCCCTCACCTCCATTCAAGGCACCAAACAAACTTTCCACATTAGACAGAGATTCACCTATACATCCGTCAGTGTGGTCTATTGCAGACGCTGCTTCCAATGTGGCCTCCTCTACATCGGTGAGACCAAGCGGAGGCTTGGAGACCACTTTGTAGAGCACCTGCCCTCTGTTCGCAACAAACAACAACACCTTCCTGTCGCAAACCATTTCAACTCCCGCTCCCACTCCCTGGGTGACAAGTCTATCCTGGGCCTCCTGCAGTGTCACAATGATGTCACCTCCAAACTGGAAGAGCAGCACCTCAAATTCCGCGTTGGGAGCCTACAGCCCAATGGCCTCAATGTGGATTTTACCAGTTTCAAAATCTCCCCACCCCCGGCCTCATCCCATGACAAACCCTCCCTCTTATCCCCACCTCCTTGACCTGACACAACCTGTCCATCTTCTCTCCCACCTATCTGCCCCTCCTATCTCACTGACCAGTCCCCACCACTGCCTACCTGTACTCACCTATCACCATCCCACCCACCTTCCCCAGCCCCACTCCTCCTCTCTCTATTTATTTCTGAGCTCCCTTCTTTCCCCCCACCAACCCCCATTTCTGAAGAAGAATCCCAATCTGAAATGTCAACTTTCCTGCTCCTCTGATGCTGCCTGACCTGTTGTGTTCCTCCAGCTCCACACTGTTATCTCTGACTCCGGCATCTGCAGTTCTTACTAGCTCTACAATTGGATATGGATAGGTTAGTGAGAAGGCCAAAATTTGGCAGATGAAGTTTAACGTAGGTAAATGTGAAGTTATTTATTTTGGTCAGAAGACTAGAAAGGCACCTCATCATTTAAGTGGAGAGAAAGCTCAGAGTGCTTCAGTGCAGAAGAATCTGTCCTCATGCATGAATGGCAGTAAACTAGTATGCAGGTACAGTAGTTAATAAAGAAGAAAAATGGAATTTTAGCATTAATTGCTAAAGGAATAGAGTATAAAAGGAGGCAAGTGTTGCTGAAGCTGAACAAGGCATTAATGAGTCTGCACCTGGAGTATTTCGTACAATTTTGTTCCCCTTACCTGAGGAGGACTGTATTTGCAATCTAGGCAGTTCATAAGAGGCTCACTAGATTGATTCCAGAGTGAAGGGTTTGTGTTCTGAAGAGAAACTACGCAGGATAATATTTGTAGGATTATACTTGCTACAGTTTAGAAGAATAAGAGGTCTAATTGGAAGTATATAAGATGCTAAAGGGGATTGACAAAGTAGATACAGAGAGGATGTTTCCTCACTGGGGCAATCTAGAATGAGAGGTCATAGTTTTGGGATAAGGGATAGCAGATTTAAAACAGAGATGAGGAGAAATTACTTCCCTGAAAGTGTTGTGAATCCTTGGAAGTCAGTACCTGAGAGTGCGGTGGATGCTAGACATTGAAGAAATTTAACAAGGAGACATACAGATTTTTAATTAGTAACAGATTAACGGGTTATGGGGAATGGGAAGGAAATTAGATTGAGGCAGAGATGAGATCAGCCAACTTCATATTAAATGGTGGAGCAGGTTCAAGGGACTGAATTGCTGTTTTCTGCGCCTAGTTCTTATGCTCTTATGTTCAAAAGAAGGATGGTTTTTTTCAGGTATGGAGAGCACTAGTGTGAGCACATTCTGGGAGTATTGTGTATGGTATTAGCCTCCTTGTTTCAGGAAGGATGTAAATGCCTTGGAAGAAGGTTGGAGACTGTCTAGTGGACTAATACTTGGAATTGAAAGGTTCTCATATGAGAGAGGTTGGACAAGCATTTTTTTTATTTACTTGTAGGCATTGCTGGCTGGCCAGCATTTATTGCCTAATCCTAGTTATCCTTGAGGAGGTAGTGGTGAGCTGCCTTCTTGAAACGCTACAGTCCCCTGTGCTGTAAGCAGACTCACAATACTGTTAGGGAGGGAATTCCAGGATTTACTTTTTCACTATTTGAGCACTGTATGTATAGAAGCAGTTTGCAAACAAACTGATATTAACAATTTTAATCTTGACATTTTTAATGAGATTTTGTTGTCAAATGCACATTTGTGATCAAATGCAATAATTAAAAGAAACTGTTAATGTTTTTGCAGACAATTGCAGAGTTGGAGAGCCAGGTTCACCAGCTACGTGAAGAACTTATCCAGGTCAACTCTCAAAGAAAGCAACAGCTAGTTGAGTTGGGACTGCTACGTGAGGAGGAAAAGCAGAGAGCTTTGTGTGATCACGAAGCTACCGTCAACAAGCTGAAAGCTGAAATGGAAAGGATAAAACTGGAGTTTCAGAAGACAAACGCTGCTGAAATGGAACATGCTGTGGAAAGGGTAGGCTGTTTGTCCTTTGTTTATGTTTTCTAAACACAGTGAATGTAATAAATTGGCCAATTTATGAATAAATAAAGCAAATGGTGCAGAAAATTAATTTTGAAATAATAAACCCTTCCAACAGTAACATGCATTTATATGTTGTGCTGGTAACATCTTAATGACTGAAGCAAGAGGTTATCTCTAACTTCTTCCGGGAAGCACTTTGTTGGTTGTACTGTACAATCCCTTTAAGTTTACTGCATGACAGTACATGCTGGAATTTTAAATAAACTATTTCCTGTGCATAGCTGTTTGTTCCATGCAGAGTAGGTTCTAAAAGACTGCAGCGCCAAGCACCTGCAACACCTAGAGCAGGATATTGGTCTGTAGACATTTCAAAAGATCAACTATCAAGCATGAGTTTATTATACAGACACATGGGTGGGCCAGGGGGCCATAGGCTTGGCCAAAGAAGTTGCTGTTAAGGAGTGTTTTAAAGAGAAAGAAGGAGAGGTAGACAGGTGGAAAAGTTTAGGAAGGGAAATTCAGAGCTTATTTTTTATTTTGGATTGTGTAGGTTGTCAGTTTTTCGATACAATGTTATTACAATGCTATATTAGTGATTAGAAATAACCTAATGATGCTTCACACAGTTAATGGAATCCAGTTCTGATTTTGGTCAAATGTTTTGGCATAATATGAGAACAGAAAGACAAGAATTTTATGTGTCCTTTTTGAATTATTATTCTTCTTTATCTCCCTTTTCCCAAGGACTGAAAACATATGCTACTTATAAGCCTTTGGGTGGGTGTAACATTAAAATTTACTCCAATTGATTATCAAGTCAAAAGGTTGACTCTGATTTAGCTTGTTCTGCAATAATCAAACTTTAAATATCAAGTACTAGCATCATTTAAGACTGTATTCTCATGTGTCTTCTTTGCCAGCCAAGTAATGTTCAAGGAGAACAGAAATTGTAATTTCTTTTGCGATTCGGAATAGCCAATGATGTTATTGTTCAGCTGCAACCTTCTAAATAGTTACAGTTCTGGTTTGAGTGACTTAAGAAGTCAACAGAATTCACTCTAAAATGGCACGTCTACTGCTATTTTTTGTTCCAGAGCTTTAGATTTTAAACCTTCTGATATACTTCAGTTTCTTGCAATAAGAGATATCATGTGCATGTATCAAGGATTTATCTTTATTAGAGTTGAGTGATTTATCTGGCAGAATAAATCATTTCAAAGTTGATGGTTTGAAGTTATGTGTCAATAGGCAATGTGACTGTTTTCTCATGAGAAAAGTTCAACTACTTGAAGGTTTTTTAAAGTGAATTTGATTGAAGTGTTACATGGTCTCCTACTTCTATACAACACTGTAAACATATAAATCAGAGTTGAAAGGACCCAGGCAGTTCATTCCAGCTTTGATATGAAATACTGACCAAGGGAAGAACTGCGGCATCATGTCACTGGCTAAATAAGCATTGTTTAATAAAAACATTGGTAAGTATAACAGTGTGAAATAAAGCACTCCTGAGGCAATTATACCCAATGAATGACCAGAACTGGGCACCAGCCTCCAAGAATGTTATTGTGAATCAGCTGCTGAGCAGTGTGTTGTTCTTGTTGTTTTTCAGCCCGTTTCAATAGTTTGGGAAACAACACTATCTTAGCAGTATTATAAATGAAGAACCTTTGTTTCCTACCACCTCATGCTCCAATGTACTCTCCATTGGTACAGTTTAAAGTATTGGCAAAGATCTGTAGCTCAGGTTGGGGATGAGGTTGTTGACTTGCTCGCTGAGCTGGCTTGTTTTTGTTCAGACGTTTCGTCACCATGCCAGGTGACATCATCAGTGGAGCCTCCGATGAAGCGATGTTATTCTACTCGGCTTGGAATTTATACTGTCCGGTCCGTTACGATGAGTATGTCACTTCCAGTTTTGATCTGTAAGGGTTTATATATGGGGTCCAATTCTATATATTTGTTGCTTGAAGTATGGGTGGAGAATCATGCCTCTAGGAATTCCCGAGCATGTCAAAGTTTGGCTTGGGCTACTATGGTTACTTTGTCCCAGTTAAACTGATGGCTTTCATGTCTGAATGTACAGATATTAAGGAGAGTTCATCGTGCCGTTTTGCTGCTAGCTGATGTTCGTTTGAGTGTTTGTATATTTGATCATTAAAGATGAAGTGTGTGGTGAGGCAGAGATCTAGCAATTTAAATATGTTGTCCTTGCTGATGGATTTGCTGGCCTGCGTTGCTGTTTTCTCTAGTAATGTGGCCCTGTTTCTTTGTCTAGTAGGATGTCAAGTGATATGAATAAAGCTGTGACGTCAAAGGATACCATAATCTCGTTGTTGCTGATTTTTATGTTCTTGAGGGTATCAAGGAAATCTTGGGTTGAGTGGATAGAATGAGGTGATCCATCTACAAGGTGTTTCAATCTCTGTTGTAGGTCCTTGGCCAGTTTGTGTGAAGATGTGCCTGCTAGGGAGACGATGGGTCTGAAGGGATGTCTGGCTTATGTACTTTAGGCAGTCCATAGAAGCAGGGTGCCTTCTGATTTCATTCTCATGAAGTCTGTCTTGGTTATTTGCCCTGCATTCATTAGTCGCTTCAGTGTCTGGGTGATCCTATTACCTAGTTGCAGTGTTGGGTCTATCATGACCTAACACACTTACCACACTTCCCTACATCTGGAACATATTGGAACGGACAACAAGACTCCTAAGACCACTGGGAATCACGTTGGCCCACAAGCCCACAGTCACTCTGCGACAAACGCTTACAAGGATTAAAGATCCCATTCCCACAACATGCAGAACGAACATGGTTTACAAAATACCAGGCAACGACTGCCACAAACATTACATCGGACAGACAGGAAAGAAACTAGCCATCAGAATACACGAACATCAGCTAGCAGCAAAACGGCAAGGTGAACTCTCCTTAATATCTGTACATTCAGACAATGAAGGCCATCGGTTTAACTGGGACAACGTAACCATAGTAGCCCAAGACAAACTTATACACACAAGGGAATTCCTAGAGGCATGGTTCTCCACCATATTTCAATCAACAAATATATAGAATTGGACCCCATATATAAATCCATACAGATCAAAACCGGAAGTGACAGTACTCACCATAACAGAACGGACAGTATAAATTCTAAGCAGAGTAGAATAACATCACTTCATCGGAGGCTCCACTGATGATGCCACCTAGCATGGTAATGAAACGTCTGAACAGAAATAAGCCAGCTTGACGAGCAAGTCAACAACCTCACCAATGGTACAGTGTTACAGTTTATTCCCTGGTGAAGTTTGCATTGCAAGCATCTGTACATCTTATGTTTGTAAATTTGTAATATTTACAAATGATTTTACACATCTGGGGAAGCGGTACTTTCTAAGACTTTCTTGCATCATGTCATAGTTTGAACTGTTTGTACATGTATTCTTCAATGCTTTTTAAAACATAGGTACTTTTTATGAGTTCATCTCCCTTGGCATAATGCCAATTTACTGTGGGTTAAATGGATGGAGTTTTGAAGTCAGGACTTCATTTGAGATATCAAACAATTATGCACACAACATCGAAGGATATTGGTGAGGAGATAACCCTGAATTTGTTGAAGGAGAAATGAGAGGTACCATCACAAATTGTTTGTCAAGCTAAAGCAAGATAAAGTGCAACAACCTGATGAAACTCAGTTAACCTTCTCCAAACTACTTCAATGTATTTACATCCTTGCTTAAAAAAGACTGTATACAGTTTCACCAATGTCCTGTATAACGGAATTGTGAACTCCCAGCTTTTACGTTCAGTTCTGCTTGAAGAAAATAATAACATTCTATTAGTTTTTCCAATCATTTGCTGTACCTGCATGCGAACCTTTTGTGACTCATACTGGGACATTCAGATGCCTCTTCACCTGAGAGCTCTGTGATCTCTCAACATTTACAGATGATTTTTTTTTAAATTAATTATTTTGGGACTGTCCATAGAATCCCTACAATGTGGAAACAGGCCATTCAGCCCAACAGGTCCACACCAAGCCTCCAAAGAGCATCCCAAACAGACTCAACCCCCCTACCCTATCACTGTAACCCTGCTTTTCCCATGGCCAATCCACCCAACCTATGCATCCCTGGACACTATGGGCAATTTAGCGTGGCCAATCCACCTAACTTGCGTATCTTTGAATTCTGGGAGGAAACTGGGGCAAACCCACACAGATAGGGGGAGAATGTGCAAACTCCACACAGACAGTCACCTGAGGCTGGGAATTGAACCCAGGTCCCTCGTACTTTGAGCCAGCAGTGCTAGCCACTATGCCACCCCGACAATTCTTCCTGACAATTTGGACAATTTCACATTTTTGCACAAAGTAATGCAATTGCCAGGTCTTTGACATTCACTTGACCTATCTATATCATTTGTTGCTTCCTTATGTTCTCTTCACAATTTACTTTCTTACCTACCTTGTGTCATCAGCAAATTTGGCAATCACATCTTTGGTCTTTTCATCCAAGTCAGTTATATAAGTTGTAATAATTTGCAGCCCAGCCCTGATCCCTGTGGCATACCACTTATTATAACTTGCCAACTAGAAAATGACCCATCTGTAACTATTATCTATTTCCTGTTAAATAGCCAAGCATCTATCCATGCCAATATATTACTACTATGCCATAAATTTTTACCTTCTGTAATAACCTTTAATATGACACTTTATCAAATGCCTCCTTCTAAGCACAATACATTCACCAGTTTTCCTTTATCCACACCTTTTTTTAAAGAACTCCAAATGGTTATAATTTCCTTTTCACAAAACCATGTTGACTCTGCCTGATTACTTTGAATTGTTTTAAGTGTTCCTCTATAATGTCTTTAATAATAGCTTCAAACATTCTCTCTATGACCTGTAGTTTCCTGCTTTCTGTCCCCCTCCCTTTCTGATTAAATGAGGTACATGTCTTATTTTCCCAACTAATAAAATCTTGTCTGAATCTCAGGAATTGTGGAAAATTAAAACCAACATATAAACCATCTCAACTAAAAACAAAATACTACAGATGCTGGAAATCTGAAATAATAAGAGAAAATGTTGAAGAAACTCAATGGATCTGGCAGCAAGTGAAGAGAGTTA